TAACAAATGGTGCTGGCAGAGTTGGAAAGCGATATGTAAAAGACTGAGACAAGACCTTTGCCTCACACCCTATACAAAAATGAACTCAACATGGATTAAAGATCTAAATGTGAATCCTAAAATTATGAAGATCATCAATGAAAAAATATGGACAAATGTGAAGGCGCTAATACAGGGAATATTCAGACTGCCACACATTCTGAAAAATACACAAACAAAAATAGATGAGTGGGACATACTAAAAATTAAAAACTTGTGTGCATCAAAAGACTTCACCAAGAGAGTGAAAAGGGAACCACAGAATGGGAAAAATCTTCTGCAATGACATATCGGATAAGGAACTCATTTCTAAAATACATAGGAAATTACTACACATCTACAAAAACAAGACAAATAACCCAATCAAAAAATGGCACAGGATATGAACAGACACTTCACCAGGGAAGAGATCCGGGCAGCCAACAAACATATGAAGAAATGTTCACGAATTAAACTTCAGCAAATTTGAAAATCTATAAGAAAATTTCTAGGACAAGACCTGCCTAAACTAATAGAATGAACTAGAAAACTTTACAGGTCTATAAGAAGAGAAGAAACTGATCAAGTAATTTAAAAAATACCTAAGAAAAAAAGTCCAGACCCAGATGGTTTCCTGGTGAAATTCACCAAACATTTAGAGAACAGTTAACACGTTGTACTCAAACTATTCTAGAATATAGAAAGGGATGGAAAATTCCAGAATTCTTTTTACGAAGCAAGTGTAACTCTAATACCAAAACCAGGTAAAGACATCACTAAAAAGAAAATGATAAACCAATATCCTTCATGAACATAGATGCAAAAATTCTCAACAAAATCCTAGCCAATAGAATTCAACTATATATTAAAAAATAATGCATCATAACCAACTGGAATTCATACAAGGTCTGCAGGGACACTTTAATATTAGAAAAGCAATTACTGTAACACACCACATAAAGGGGGGGGGGAAGTCACATGATCAAATCAATTGATGCAGAAATAGCATTTCACAAAATCCAACACTCAATTCTGATAAAAACACTCAAAAGAATAGCAATAGAAGAGAAATTCCTCAACATAGTTATAGACCTAATACAGAAAACAAACAATCAACATCACTCTCAAAGGTGAGAAACTGAAGTCATTCCCCTTGGAAACAGGAACCAGACAAGAGTGCCCTTTATCACCACTCCTATTCAGAATCGTGGGGTCTGGTGTGACACTGTGGGTTAATGCGCTGGACTGCAAAGTTGATTTCAACCACAAGATTGGTGGTTCGAGCTCACCAGCTGCTCCTTGGAAACCCTATACAGGGTCGCTATGCATCAGAACCAACTCAACTTCACTTAACAACTAAAAAAAAAAAAAATTAGTAGAGACCTGGACTTATAACCACAAGGCCAGCTGTTCAAATCCACCAGCTGCTCCTTAGAAACCTTATATACGGTCATTATGAGTCATCTCTGACTTGATGGCACATAACAGTAACAATTCAATATAGTGCTGGAAGTCTGAGCCAGAGCTGTAAGACAAAAAAGGGAAATTAAAGACATCCAAATTGACAAAGAAAAAGTAAAACTCTCTTTTTCAATAATATAATCCTATACTTAGAAAATCCCAAAGACTTAGCAAGAAAATTATTGGAACTTACTGATAGTTTTAGCAAAGTGACATGGTACAAGATCAACAAACAAAAATCAGTTGGACTCCTTTACACTAATAAAGAGAGATCTGAAAAGAAAATCAGGAAGACAGTACTACTTTACCCCAAATGTGAAATATTTGTGAATAAATCTAAGCAGAGAAAGAAAAGACTTTTACAAAGAAAACTACTATAAGAAACCAAAAGAGACATACAGAGATGAAGGATTATACCATGCTCATGGATAGGGAGACTTAACATTGTGAAAATGTCAACATTATCCAAAGCAACATCTACAGATAGAATGCAATCCCAATCCAGATTGCAACATCATTCTTTAAAGAGATGGGAAAACTAATCACTAATTTTATATGGAAAAGAAAGTGATCCCAGATAAACAAAGCATTATTCAAAATGAACAAAGCAGGAGGAACTCTTAGTTTCTGATCTCAAAACCTGCTACACAGCTACAGTAGTTGAAATAGCCTGGTATTGGTACAATGAAATACACAAAGATAAATACATGTAACAGAATTGAGAACCCAGAAGTACATCTATCCACCTACAGTTAGAGAGAAAACCACTCACTGGCTAGAGGGTAGATTTGACAGCACTTAACCACGGGACAAAGATAAGACTTTCTGCTCTCGTAAAGATTTACAGTCTCGGAAACCCTGTACGGGGTCACTATGAATCGGAACCGACTCCGTGGCACATAACAACAACATGGTGTGATTGTTGTGGTTAAGTGCTGTTGAGTCAGTTCAGATTCATAGCAACCCTGTATAGAGTTTCCAAGGAGTAGCTGGTGAGCTTGAACCACCAACCTTGCAGTTCAAACAGCTTTGCAGTCTGGTGCATTAACCCACAGTACCACACCAGGACTCCAACAACAGGGTGTTGTTGTTGTTGTGTGCAATGGAGTCGTTTCTGACTCATAGCGACCCTGTACAGGGTTTCCGAGGCTGTAAATCTTCATGGGAGCAGAAAGCCTCATCTTTCTCCCGCGAAACACATGTTAATATGGGTGAAGGGGCAGGCAATATATAATAAAACGAAGGATGGCAGAGGAAAGATGAAGATAGCACAAAACACAGGGAGGAATACAGGAGTTAGAATAAATAGAGGTACATACTGTTAAAGGATGGTACATGGAGGGGAATGAAATCATTGTAATGAAGCGAAGTATATGATTTGTTGAATGTAAAATTGATGACCTTCTCTTTGAACCTTCACTCAATTCACAACAAAAAGTTTATTAAAAACAAAAAATAAACCTAGCAGCAGTGCAGAACACGGATAATGAAACAAACACACTCACAAGAATAATGGCAAGCAAATGGCCAAAGTGAGAAGGTGGTGGTGGTGATGTGCTGTGGAGTCGGTTCCAACTCATAGCAACCCTGTATACGGTTTCCAAGGCTATAAAACTTTACGGGAGCAGAAAGCCTCATCTTTCACCCGTGGAACCGCTGGTAGTTTCGAACTGCTGGCCATGAGATTAGCAGCCAGACTCATAACCACTATGCTATGAGAGCTCCTTGAAGTGAGAACGCAGGGACTAAAAATGGTAAACTTGAGTGAAGGTGTCAAAGTAGACTCTATACTTACTATGTAGCACAGAAATAAAATACAAATGGTATAAGCAGAAATTATTCTTGCTACCATAAATGGATGATGGCAGGGTAAGGCTGAGGCAGATAGCCCCCTACAAGCTTGTTGCAATAAAATCACTGTACAATGACGAGAAATCAAAACAGTCTAATGATCCAGAGAAGGAGCAAACCCCCGAGGCAATGCAGATAAATCTAGGAGGTAGGGAGGCAGAGGGACAGGACAAAAGCGGCAAGGTTAGTCACTAAGATTTATTAAACTCAGATTTTAGCGGACTAGGGGCTGTTGTTAAGTTCTATCAAGTCAGTTCCACCTCATAGTGACCCTGTATAGGGTTTCCAAAAAGCAGTTGGTGAGTTTGAACCATGGACCTTGTGGTCCAGTGCTTTATCCTACAGCACCACACCAGGATCAAAACATCTACTTCAGAAGTATATAGGTCTAGTTAGAGGAAATGTCAAGAAGCAATGAATTCATAGTTTGATATTTTTAATGAAGGTTTCTATGATTTTGTAGAATACTTTTATCATGTGAAGTATGCAATAAACCTACATTAATTAACTTAGCAAATTATCTTTCAAGCCAGCAATCTATTCAGCAAATGTCAGAATATTTACTAAAAGTTTATTATCATGAATTCTGGATTCCTGAGAAAGGACACCGGAATTCTTTAGGAAACCACCCTCTTCATCTCTACCCAAAACCAAGTCTCTAATAGATGGTCCTGTGATGGTCCGGTGATGACATGCCCGGCGCAGTCTACCTCGCTTCATGAAACTCCCTTCCTCAGAATCAGTATTAATCAGAAAATTCTCCACTGATATAACGGTTAAACACTCAATATTATTCTAAATAAGTATGGATAAAGTGACAAAATCAATGGATCACCGCACTATAGCAGGAAATATTTGTAAACATTTTAATAGTTTTTATTACAATGGTGCAAGGTAGTATTCATCAACACTCATCAACAACAAAGTCATCTTCTATAAACAATTCCAGAAAGTTCAAACAAGAAAACTAAAAGATATTATCTGCAATAATTCTCATACAACACTGTTTAATGTTTAAACTTCATGTTACTCCAAATAAAGTTACTCCAATCTTTTTCTAGCAAACAAGTGGCAAAATAAGTTTGCGTTTACTCTTTGCCTAGAAACATATGAGAACATGCCACACAATTAAAAACCTCTTGTTACACCACTCCGTGACATTAATATCTATTCGTGCTTACAATCAGCTGGTTGTACTAAATATCATAAAATACAAAATGCTAGGAAATATAAACATCAATTTGTATTTCAAGTTTATAACATTGTATTTACAAAAATAGTCTGTGAGGAAAAGGGCTTATACCCATATTTTTTCCTAGAGAGGAACTATTTTGCGCCATTTTCTAGCATTTCTCTTCACAACAATGTTTAAAGTGACTGCTGAATTCCTTCAGAAGTGTATCTGTTAGCTAAAAGCTACACGCTCAGATGAAAAGGGAGCGTTAACATGGGGAGTAAGAAGGGAAAGGGAGAAATGATGAATGGGAATGAAACCACACAGATATGGCTCTCACGGAAATGGTTCAGGGTGCCTCATGCAGGGTGAGGTGCAAGCACGCTCCTTGGTCAGAACAACAAATGCCAATATGTACAGGCCCAAGGTCTCCTCTGGTTCTGAAGGCCACTTTCACCAACATGATGCCACCTGAAGGAAGGTCTCAAGGCAGGAACTACGACATGACTCCAAAGACAGGGTTGTGACGGCAAATGCTGGGGCCATATTCCTCATAGTCTTTCTTGGTGTGGCAAACCTGAAAGAACTCCGGCTAAGAAAAAAGAAACATTATAAAGGAATATGCAAATATTATACAAAGGAAATAAAATTAACTATTAAACAAACGAGAATATCTGCTTACTGAAAACCTTCATTCTCTTTCTTCAGACCCTTGATGTAAGGTTTTGACCTCCTAGACAGATTGAACTATTAAAGCAAAGTTTTATTCATTTATTTAAAATAACATTCCATTGTGTTTTCAGTGACCGTTTACACAGTAGCCTAGGTTTCCATTTGACAATTTCTATACAAGTTGTTCAGTGACATTGGCTACATTTTTCATAAGGGGTGAACATTTTCATTATTCTGCTTGGTTGTTCTGCCTTCATTAATCTAGTTTCCTGGTCCCTTTTACATTCTCATCTTTGTTTAAAAGTAATCTTTGGCTGCTTGGTATCATATAGGTGACTTTCTAAAGGAGCACAAGATTATGAGTGAGAGTCATTATTTTTGAGTCAACATTTAATTTAACTACAAGGTGATCTCAGGGGTTAATTTCGGTTCAGGGTTTGAAGAGTATCTCAAGACATCTGCCTCAGGGAGTCCTCCAGTCTCAACCAGTCCACTAGATCTGTTTTTGTTGTTGTTGTTATTTTTTAGTTAGGAATTTCAGTTTCTATTCCACATTTCTTCCAATTCTATCAGGGTCAATCTATTACAGCCCTGGCATCATCTGGTTCTGGTCTCCAGGAGAGGAGACCGTGGGTCATATAGACTATTTCTCTTGAAGACTAGTTTCTTTTTGTATTCAGTTTCCATCTTTCTCTTTTGTTCTGGTTGAGTATCTCATATGGCCACTCAAAGCTTTTAAAACCACACACTACTCACCAACCTAGGATGTAGAACATAACTTTATGAACTATGAGGGTAAGTCAAAAAGTATTGCTACTGGGGTTCCAGTTCATACATGCATAGGTTTATTCCAAACAAAATGTGCTTCAACGTGTCTCTATGATCAGTGGATGACTATAGAAAAGTGATCTCAAGTAATATAATTGTCTTAGTCTCATTAGATTGCCTTAAATTTTTTTTTTTTTTTTTTTAAAGGTTCCATTGAAACAGTAGCTTCCGAGGAGGCTCTGCTGAGCCAGTGACATTTGAGGTTGAGATGGCAGTTCAGAAGGTTATGGCAACTGTGTTTTGTTGAATTTCAAAGAGATAATCTTGACAGGCTTCTCAAAGAACACAGGACAAGCATGGGGATTATTATAAAGAAGTTTTAGGAAAATGGAAGACTGCATTGTGAGAAAAAAGACAGTAACATTCCAGCAAGGGAATTTTTTTTTTTTTTTTTTCCAATCCAACAGTGCACCTGCCCACTCTTCAAGGATACCAAGGGCAGTCCTATGAGAATTTCACTGACAAACCTTACTCCATCCACCCTCTAGTCCCAAGTTTGTCCTTTCAGACTTACTGTTCCCTAAACTCAACGAACATTTCAACAGAGCATGATATGAGTTCCCCCAAGGATGCCAAAACTGCCATTTTATCATGTTGTAAAATCATCAAAGAGTACAGGATTCCTCAAGGTAGAGTCAGAAAGAAGGAAACACTGCCTTCTGAACTGTACACATCTAGTTGAAGGTTATGGTGCAAATCAACAGCTTCACAGTTTGATATTTTTGTTTAATAAAGGTTTCTATGATTTCATAGCAATACTTTTTGACTTATTCTTGTAAAAACCCACACATATATTTTTGGTTGTCTTTACTGTTGCTTCAAAATTGTAAGTACAACAGCATTACCAACAGGTCCTTTTTTCTTGTGTACTATTTAGCAAATTGTTTCCCCGTGTCAAGCTGTGTACACTTCAACTCTCTTTGGGTGTTTACCTTTCCCATCACCAAAAATAACAACTGCTTAGAGCGTTAGTCCGGAGGAGGTGAAACCAATTCAATGGCACTTAACAACAACAGAGTCCTGAGAGTCTACTGGGATACAATTTGGACTGCTAAGTGCCAGATCAGCAGTTTCTACAGGTGAGAAACTACAGGTGAGAAATTCAAATCTACCAGTTTCTACAGGTGAGAAAAATGCGGTTTTCTATTTCCATGAAGATCTTCAGACTTGGAAACTCTGAGTTGGAACCAGCTTAATGGCATAAGACCACCACCACCACCACTACCTAGAACATGAAACCCCCTTCTACCCCGACCCCCATTCCTGGTAACCATTAATGAACATTCCCACCCACTGCCATCTAGTCAATTCTGACTCATAGTGACCTTCTATAGTGTTTCCAAGACTATAGATATTGGTGGGTTTGAACTGCTCACCTTGCAGTCAGCAGCCCAATGCCTAACCCACAGCACCACCAGAGCATCTTTAGTTTCTGCATGTTTATTTTTTCATGTCACTTTATGAAAGTGAAAATATACAATATTTGTTTTTGTGTGACTGACTTATTTCATCCAACATAATGTCCTCCAGATTCTTCCATGTTCCAAGATGTTTCAGGAACTCATTTTTCTTTATCACTGAGTATTCCAGTGGTGTGGGACTAGGCAGTGTTTTGTTCTGTTGTACAGAGGATAGCTATGAGCCGGTGCTGACTCAAAGGCACCTAACAACAACAACAACAACTATTCCACTGAATATATGTTGCTTTCTTTCTTTTTAAAATATATTCACTCTATTTATTCAGGTCCAACTGTATGCTGGGAACAACTTGCTAGCTATTGAATTAATACCACTTGTCTGTCAGTTTGTCTTACTGTCATGGCCTGTGTGCTGCTGTGATTCTGGAAGCTACGTTACCAGTATCTTAAATAGGTTTTGGTGTAGCTTCAGGACTAAGACATACTAGGAAGTAGGAGCAGCAACTACTTTTAAAAGTTAAGCTGCTGAAAACCTACTGAATAGCATCAGAAAACTGTCAGATATAGTACCAGAAGATGAATGAGCCCCTCAGGTTGAAAAGTACTCAAAATAGGACTGGGGAAGAGCTGCTTCCTCAAACAAGAGTTGACAACAGTGACGTGAATGGAGCAAACCTTTTGGGACCTTCATTTTCTGATGGGGTGCAACTCAAAATGAGGAGAAACAGCTACAAATATCCATTAATAATCAGAATATGGAATGTACAAAGTATGAATATAGGAAAACTGGAAGTTGTAAAAATGAAATGGAATGCATGAAGATCAATATTCTAGGTATTAGCTGGTATAGCAATTTTGAATCAGATAATCATATTGGTTTACTATGCTTGGAATCACAAATTCAAGAATGGTGTAGCATTCTTTGTCAAAAAGAGCATTTCAAGATCTATCTTGAAATACAGTGCTGTGATAGGATAATATGCATATAACACTAACACAGAAAACCAGTTAATAGCACTATTATTCAAATTTACAGACCAAAAAGCCAGTGATGAAGAAACTGAAAATTATACCACATTCTTCAGTTGGAAATTGATCAAACATGCATCAAGATAAATTGATAATTACTGGTGATCGGAATGTGAAACTTGGAAATAAAGAGAAAGGATCAGCAGCTGGAAAACATGGCCTTGATGACAGAAACACTGCTGGAGACTGGTAAGAGAATTTTACAAGACCAACGACTTACTCTTTGCAAATACCTTTTGTAAATAACATAAAAGATGTCTATGCACAGGAATCTCAACAGAGGAAATACACAAGAATCAAACTGACTATATCTATTGAAAAAGATGTATTGCATTAGGTAAATCTCCTGTACAAGACCACTTTAAGTGTTTAAGAGCAAAGATGTCAGTTTGAAGATTAAGGTGCATTTGACCCAAGCCATGATATTTTCAGTAACTTCATATGCATGTGTAAGTTGGACAGTGAATAAGGAAGACAGTAGAAGAACAGATGCATTTGAGCTATGGTGTTACAGGAAAATATTTAAAGTACCATGGACTGTCAAAAGAACAAACCAATCTGTGTTGGAAGAAGTACAGCCAGAATGCTCCTTGAAAGCCAGGATGGTCTAACTGTGTCTATCATACTTCAGACATACTGTCAGAAGGGACCAGTCACTGGAGAAGGATATCATGTTTGGTACAGTTGAGGGTTGAAGAAATAGAGGAAGATCCCCAACGAGATGGAATGACACAGTGGCAGCAGCAATGGGCTCAAATGCACCAACAATTGTAAGATTGGCACAGGACTGGGCAGTGTTTCGTTCTGTTGTGCATAGGGTTGCTATGAGTTGGTACTGAGTTAATGGCACCTAACAACAACAATAATATGGGAAAAGACAGTGGAAAAGCTCAATATCCTCAGTCAAAACAAGGCCAGCTGCCAACTGTAGAACAGACCATCAAATGCTCATATGTCAGCTGAAGCTGAAGAAAATAAAACAAGTCCACAAGAGCCAAAATATGAATTTGAATATACCTTACCTGAATTTAGAGGCAATGTCAAGAACAGATTTAATACATTCGACAATAATGACAAAATACCAGAAGAGTTATGGGATATCAAGAATAGCATATATGAAGAAAGCAAAAAAGCCAGGAAACAAAGACCAAAATGGATGTCAGAAGAATTTTGGAAATTTGCTCTTGCTTATAGAGAAGCTAAAGCAATGGGAGAAATGAAGAAGTAAAAGAGCTGTACAGAAAATTACAAAGGGTAGTTTAAGAAGACAAAGTATTTCCATGAAAAATGTAAACACCAAGAGTTAGAAAACCAAAATGGAAGAACATGCTCAATGTTTCTCAAGCTGAAAGAAATGAAGAAAATAATTAAAGCCTTGACTTGAAATACTGAAGGAATCCATGGGCACAGTATTATACGATACAGAAAGCATCAAAAGAAGATGGAAGGAATACACAGAACTACTGTATGAAAAACAAATGGTGACTATTCAACCATTTCAAGAGGTAGCATATGGCCAAGAACCGATGGTACTGAAGGAAGACATTTATGCTGCACTGAATGTACTGGTGAACAACAATGAGGCTCCAGCAATTGACAAAATCAAAACTGAAATCTTTCAAAAACTGATGAAGCACTAGAGTCACTCACTCATCCATGTCAAGAAATTGTGAAGACAGCTACCTGGGTTACTACTTGGAAGACATCCATATTTGTGCCCATTCCAAAGAGACGTGACCCAACGAAATGTGGAAATCACCAATCAATATCATTAATATCACATACTAACTAAAATTTTGCTGCAAATAATTTGAAAAACTGCTGCAAAGTATATTGAGAGAGAACTGCCAGGAATTTGAGCTGGATTCTGAAGACGACTTGCATCTAATATCGTTGCTGATATTAGATGGAGGTTGGCTAAAAGCAGAGAATACCAGAAAGATGTTTACTTGAGCTTTATTGACTTTGCAAAGACTTTCCACTTGAATGGATCATGGCAACTATTCCAGAACATTTAACTATGCTCATAAGGCAGTTGAACGAGGGGATATTTAATGGTTTTAAATCAGGAAAAATGTGTGCTAAGGTTTCAAACTTACTCATTGTATGCTGAGCAAACAATCTGAAAAATGGCATTATATGAAGAAGAACATGGCATAAGGAATGGAGAAGAGTCATTAACAACCTGCAATATGCAGATGATACAACCTTGCGTACTGGATGAGAAAATAGCTTAAAATACTTACTGATGAAGAGCAAAGACCACAGCTTTCAATATGGATTGCCCCTCACTGAACAAAAAGCAAAAATTCTTATAATAGGGCCAATACATAACATCATGGTACATGGAGAAAATAATGTTGGCAATGATTTCATTTTGCTTGGCTCAACAATCAACACACATGGAAGCAGCTAGTCAAGAAATCAAACATATTGCATTATGTAAATCTGCTGTACAAAACCTCTTTAAGGTATTCAAGAGCAAGGATTAGAGTTTAAGGACTAACTAAGCTGCACCTGACCTCATAGTATTCTTAATTGTTTCACATGTATGTGAAAGTCAGACAGTGAATAAGGTAGACTGTAGAAAAACAGATGCATTTAAATTACAGTATTAGAGAAGAATATTAAAAGACCATGGGCAGCCAGAAGAACATATAAATCTGTGTTGGAAGAAGTGCAGCCAGAATGTTCCTTAGAAGTTAGGATGGCGAGACTTTGTCTCTCATACTTCAGACATATTACCAGGAGGGACCAGTCCCTGGAGTAGGATCTCATGCTTGGTAAATTGGGGGTCAGCAAAAAACAGGAAGACCCCAAACAAGATGGACTGACAGAGTAGCAGCAGCAATGGGCTCAAGTGTAACAACACCTGGGAGGATGGCGAGGGACCAGGCACCTTTTTGTTCTGTTGTGCACAGGGTGACTATGAATTGACACTGACTGACAACACCTAACAACAACACAACACATGTCAAGAAAAAAGAATTTTTGGGAACAGGCACTGCACTGCAATGACCCATCAATGTAAAATGGTTTAGGTTATATTCAGATTTAATGTATCCAGTTTATCTGTAACACTAATCAGCACGAACAATTATGAATTTGCTATGTGATTTGATGGAGTCCTGGTGTGGCGCTGCAGAACAATACACCGGACCACAGGGTCAGTTTGAACCACAAGGTTGGTGGTACCAACCCACCAGTCACTCCTCGGAAACCCTATACAGGGTCGCTATGACTCGGAACTGACTTGACAGCACTTAACAACAACAAATGTAACTTAAAAAATTGTCAAAATATTTTTTTGTATTTCACAGTAGTAAAAATGGGACTGCTTAGAGCATACATACTATTTAACCTTCATAAGACAATATTTATTAAAACTCAACAGAAAACACAAAAATTAAAATACAGAACCTAGGAAATGACTTACAGTTGAAGCAAGCATTGAGCCTCCAAACCACACAGCATAGCGCTGCATATGATGTGTTATCACCTGAACCTCCACAGGCTTAGGCTGAAAATACAGTAAGTGACAGTTAGGTCAAGCAGTGCAAACAAGCTTTCATTCTAATAATCTTTCAGTTGACATGATGATAATGCCATTGTAACTAGAGGAAAACACAGGGCCTTCTTCCCATCTTAATGGCCTAACAGCTTTTCCTACTATGGTCAGGTCCTCCTAGTACATCACTCCATTACACAGCTGCCTCCTAAAGCACTGTTCCTCAGCCTTTCCTGCTGCAATGCACTCCCTTGTGTTCCTGACTCCAGAAGACATCAGAGGAATAAAGCATCCAAGTCAAGTGAAGGTTATCTTTCTATAACAGTAAGACATGGTAAAAACAAAAAAGAACAAAACAAAAAACTTATCAACTGACCTAGGAAGTTTTTTGACCAAAAAAATATTTAAAAACATTTTTTAAAACTACATCATAGAAACAGATTCCATTTCAGGAGTCTCTTTTCTCAGGTGAAAACTGTATGCATGCTTTCCCACCTAACCTATCAAATTCCAAGCCTAGTTAGAATCACCAGTTTAAGAATTCAAACTTAAAAGAATCACATTGTAGCACCTGCTTTTAGTTTCATAAGAACGTTTCTGAAGGACATTAAAGATCGTCACTATAAATCAATGCCATTTCCCAGGACACTGGGTTATTAAACTATATGCCTGATCTCTTACAATAGGAAAGAAAACTGTGTAAACATGGGGTTGGTGAGAACATCAAATTGTTACTGTATCACTAGTTGTATCAGTCTTAACTATTTGCTTGGAGTAGATTTGGGCAACTGAACTCCTGAAAGTAATTTCACAGTGTGGCTAAGAGAGCAGTTCACATGTGTTTTTATTTGTTACTACCCAGCTAAGTTCCTTCCACTGGGAATGAGAGCACCCAGAGACTCCAGCACAGCAGCTCTCTGCATGGAAGTGTCCCCATTCTGGTCTCATACCTTTATTCTGCCACCGCTGAGCTCTTCACTAAGTTTTAATCTGGCATCCACCACTCTTTTTAAATCTCTCTGTAGTCGACGTCCAAAATCCCTGAACATCGTGGAACCTCCTGAAAGAACGACATTCTAAAAGACAAAGCAGAAGGTCGTCTGTGAATAAAAGGCTCTACAAATATTTCTCCAATAAACTGCCCCAAATTCTTCCTCTCAGTACTTCTCCTTAATTAAAGCCACAGAAATACATAAAACAATTCTGCCTCCATGAAGAACTTTACATGGGTCAGGATACTAAAATAAACTGTATAAACTGATAAAATGACTTTTCATAGTTATTTTTCATCTAAGGTCAAATTAACATGGGATCTTATGCTGTTTTGCCTCACAGAACCACTAGGGGAGAAGTCTCCCAATCAATACCTGAACCTTCTTGGAAGGGTGTTGGGCAGAAAGAGAGTGTTCTGGATAAGTAAGTGTCCCCTGTAACCTTGTAGTTGGGTGTACCCTAATCTAGTAAGATTGGAATCTTGTTGTTACTGTTAGGTGCCACAGAGTAAGTTTCCACACACAGTGAACCTATGTACAACAGAATGAAGTACCACCCAGTCCTGCAGCATCCTCATGATGCTGCTACACTTGAGCACGCTGCTGCCGCCAATGTAACAATCCATCATGTTAGGGGGTCTTTCTTTACCCTTTTTCACTGACTCTCCACTTTACCAAGCACGATGTCCTTCTCAAAGAAGCTGGTCACTCCTGATAGTATGTCCAAAGTATGAGAGATGAAGTCAGGCCATCCTGGCTTCTACTTGTACTTCTTTCAACACAAATTTATTCTTCTGGCAGTCCATGGTACCTTTAATATTATTCTCCAACACCATAACTCAAATGCAGCAATTCCTCTGTGATCTTCTTTGCTCACTATCCCAACTTTCACATGCATATGAGCCTACTGAAAATACCATGGTTTGGGTCAAGAGAGCCTTAAGTCTTCAAACTGACATCTCTGCTCTTGAATACTTTACAGAGGTCTTGCCTAATGCAGTACGTAATTTTATTTCTTGACTCTGCTTCCACAAACAAGTGTTGATGGTGGATCCAAGCAAAATGAAGTCTTTAACAACTTCAATCTTTTCTCTATTTATCATGATGCTATTTATTGGTCCAGTGGTGAGGTCTTTGATATTCATCAGTACTTTCAGTCCTCTTTGTTTTCAGCAAGCAAGGTTGCATCATCTGTGTATCACAGGTTGTTAAGTCTTCCTGCAATCCTGAAACTACATTCTTCATATAACTCAGCTTCTCGAATTATATATATATGCTCAGCACACAGCTTAAATAAGTATGATGAAAGAATACAATCCTTTTGAAAACAAACAAGATGGCAGACCGGGTGGAAGTGCAGTAAAGAGCTCCACCAGCAACAACACAGAATACCCGACCAAGCAAGCTCAGGTGATGGTCCCAGAACTCTGAAC